TTTCTACTCATATGATTTTATGATTATTTGCATATTTGTGTAACAAAACTTTACACCAATGATTTATAAATTACGTTATGATTATTTGAATTTAAGTATTTTCCATTTTACATATACACTTCCATAAATTAAAAGGAATGAAGTTATTATAGTTAATATATGCAAATCGTTATCAAATCGTATATTTTCCTTTTCTTCCGTTACATGTGTGCGATATATATAAATATATAAACTATGTTACATGCGTTATATGCGTCTCTAATTATTTTTCCCTAGCAAATTTCAATTGAACCTAAAGCCGCCATGTCAGTTTAATTGATATGATAATTGATTGACAACTAAGCAAGGTTACTTTTTAATTAATACAAACTTGAGGTTACATCTTTTCAAATGTTTCTCAATTAATATATAGGGGATTAATGAATAATTTAGTCAAACACTGGACCAAAGAACTTCTACGTCTGAAAAATAGATTAGTAGAGAAAAGATTCAAGAGTTTCTGTTTTTGGTTGTGTAAAAAGAAATTAAAATGGGCCTTTAACGAGCCTTTAATGGGCCTTTGTTTCATTCTCTCACCACCGCTCACTACATTTACACACTTTTTTTTTGCTTATCATCGGTTTTGCACCCCAAGAAAATAAAATAAAATTAGAAATAATTAATTCATTTAGATTTATTCGACCAACTTTTAGAAGTAATTCTGTAATTACCGGATTTTTTTAGGGAATACGAATTTTGAAAGTTGGATGGCAATTTAATAATCGTCGAACCCTATTCAGAACATAGTGTGTATATGAAGCTTGAAACTTTCCATTTCCGGGTCCCATAGAAGGACAATAAACAAAGTGTCCCTTTTAATACCCAAAGGCCAACACTTCAGACAAACAAACAATATTGTGTGCATCTCATCAAAATTCGAATCATAAATTGCGACCAAATTCAATTCCATTTCGAAAAGCCGTACCAAAACATTGTTTGCATGTCAACAATATTCGAATCATGAATTGCGACCAATTTTAATCACGAATCATATATGTGTAGCAAAACATGAAATAGTCATCGTATATATTCTTTTACATCTCATGTTCCACGGTTAACATGAATCCAAAACTATCGTTTTATTATGTTAATGAAAACTATCATTTTATTGGCTCGTACTATATAGTATGTATGGGTGTTTATGACAAGCAAACCGACTATTGTATGATCAAAAAATTTATCCCTTCTAACTTTACATTGATTTTTGCACGGCTGAATAAATACAATAATCTATAACAAATGAAAATTCTTTACTATAACCTAATCTAGACAAATATTGATGTATAGATGTAAGTGTGGAACAATAGTCTTTTAGTGACCAGAACCTTTCCTGCTCGGTCCTGAAGCCATTGTGTGCATCCTCTCTCCTGCTGAAGAGAGTGACCGTAACCTTTTGTAACCACGCATCACGACCCCCAACAATTCCTTACGTCGGAAGTTGACTCCATGATTCTTTGATGGACCTATTTCCTCCGATGAGCCACCGAGGAGAACTCTGCAATCGACGGTTCTTGATTCTGAAAAGGCTGAGACCAAGAACATGACAGTAAAGATCATGCCAAAAGGTCTCATTTGTGGTATTTTGGGGTTTAGAGTTGAATATGAATGTGTTTTGATGATTAATAGAAAAAGAGTAGCAGAGGAGGAAGTAGAGCTTTATATACAAGTATGAAAAGATTCAAAGGTAGATGAAAAAGAATGGAGGGCACGGAAGTAAGGAGCTCCGACTAGAAATAAAATAATATTAGGGAATATAAGAAGGAATAACATGTAGAATTAGACCCTCGATATAAGGGGATGGTGCAGGGGAATTAATTTAAAAGGACGGTCTCTAGCTTCCTTGGAAGTGGACCTTTTGAAAAGTGCTAATTGTTTTTATTGACCATCTAATTATGTTTATTTATATAAAATGACAAATTACTAGATTAGTAGCTCTGAAACTAGTATTACAGTTTTTCTTTTTCTTTTTTTGCCTTAAGATGTGAATATGAAATTAGGTCAGGATATTAACTTGTGGGATTTGTTTTATGTCAATAATAATAAATAATATCTGATTTTATTGAATAGTATACACAGATACCAGTGAATCAAAATTCAGGTAGTAGTTGGTAATTATATTATTGTTAGCTTTTGTCAGTGGAGTTAGGCAAGAAAAATATATCATTATTTTGGATATCCTGGTTTCAAGATCTAAACAATTTATATTGACAAGGAGGATCATTAGTATAATCATCCCATTCACCATGTATATAGCAATAGCTAAATTAGTTTAAAGTGATAATGAAAGTACTAGACTTATACAACTGTTCGATTTGATATCATATCATTTGTTTAATTTATTTTGAGCATAACATTGTACATGAAAATAGTTTGAGCGAAAGTTCACTAACTATAATAGTACATGGTTTAGACGATTAAATCTACGGTCGTGGATCATCGACTCAGTTTCGAACTTCAGAAATGGTAAGAGTACTATAGAGACAAAGACATATATATAAATACTACTTTAGTCATTATCTACTTATGTAAATCCTCCTATGAATCGTGACACACAAAAATCCTCCTATGAACAAGATCTATTTCGTGTCTATATACCAAGCTATGTACATCAATAATATCAACACGTTCAATTATATGAAATTAGGGCCGAATGCGTCGATGTGACGTAGGTTGAGGTAAGGGAGATAAAGTACGTATTCTATCTCACACTTTCGCGAATAATTTGATCGGAATATATTTGACCATACGAATCCTCGAGGCTTGTGATGCATGGACGGACGTTTCCCATGTAAAAATAGAACCAAATAAGTTTGTTTTTATAATTGGGTTGTTTTGCTAGTAAATACTAATCATGTCTTAACGGTTAGAGTTAAGTGATTGTATTCTCATTTGTAAAGTACTAACTAGAATATATATCCAATTTTTTTTAATCAAGATTCAAAAGAAGAGAAAAGAAAACTCATATTATTCCGAAATTTCAATGGCACTGCAAGTACGTTTTTCTTTTAATTATCTTTTATTTTTTATGAATCTTAATACCATATCTAAAAAAAAATCTTAATACCATATCTGAACTTTGCATCTAAATTTTATATTTAGATTTGCAAAAAATAAAACTTAAATTATAAAAATGGAAAAGGAACAAAACATAACTTTCATCGTGGTTCGTGGGTATGAGAAAAGAAGGGCGATAACATAGACAGACAAATTCGGTGGTACATACACAAAATACTTGCATGGACGGACTCTAACGTTGCTTCATAGTTGTCATGACAATAACTAAGCATCTATCCATCTTCTTTAATTTCTCTTTTCCTTTTTGTTTTCAAAACGTCACTTCCCCACATGTACGCTCAATTTTATTTCGCTATCAATATTGCATCTTCGAATCTGTTTCATTTCTTTTATAATCAAGTTTTCATAGAACTAAAGTCTATATCGATTTAACTTCGAAAGTCGTAGTCACTAATCAATATGTGAATATCATATGTCAAATGTGAATATAGTGAGAAATGAGAATGAACGAACCATATTTAACCTACTACATCAAAATTGGAGACCCGTATTATTAGCTAAGAGTGGCTTTAGTACATGGGTAAAGCCAAAAGTATACATGATCTCAGAGATCCTACTAATTTCAATAAATAGTTTTGACAAGTAGCAATCCCCGTATTTGATTATTAATGTGCCTTTGAGGCTTTGAATCAGCATTTTTTTTTTCTTTCAAAACTAAAGGTGCCTTTGAAATCCATATTCTTAGTTTTGAGCATGTAGACAATTTACAACGTACGTCGTGGCTGTAGGGTCGAAATAGACGTTTGGATTTGTTTATGTAGTTAGCCTAATTAAATATGAAGGATCGAGTTAATAATAGCAAAAATAATATTTTACTGGTATATTTATATATTTATCAAAATAAGATACTGGTATGTTGCTATTTAATACTACATGCATGTATTTTTAGATATGCATACTTGCATAGTAACCTTTGAAAAACTCATTATTTTAGATTTGCTTTTTTTAATGGAGTTAAGTAAATCAAGAAGATAATTGGAATTCTTTCTTAAATTATGTTATTTCAAGAACTCTGTTTATTTCGTGTAATTGGACCGAATAGAAACGACTAGAATCTAGATAATGAATTTATCAAATGAAGAATTTGATTCCAATATTAATGGACTACCATGTCCGAACTATATATAGTTAACATTTTTTCCTCCCTATTATATTCTGGTGTGGTCTTACGCCACTAATAAACTATATTATTTTGGCCAAACCAAAATTGATGAATTTCTTTCACCTTATTCCAAGAGAGAAAACAGTGGACCGGATTCGAAGTAGTTTGCTTATAAATTTATTTAATGATTTGAATGATAGTGATTTCGCCTCATTTTAATATGAAAAGTTTTCCTGATTCTAAGTAAATTGGTTTATTTGTCTTACTATAGCTGCGGAAACGAAGGAACCAAAATTTTATAAAAGGGACAATTTGAGATGAATATGCATTTATTTAAATGGCTCAAAGAAAATAATTTTCCTGCCATCAATAATTTATTCTCAAAAGTTGAAATGTTGAACTTGAAATGAAGAAAATACATTACCATATAGCAGCAAGAGTTGACAGAAAAGCCAATGCTTTGTCTTTCCATAGGATATATTTCTACCTAACAAAAAGTTTAAAGGTAGATGTTGAAATTTTAGTACAGTGTGGTTGTTCAATTTTTTGAAAGACGAACCCCGTGAGAAGACGTCGCGTGCAAGAAAAAATAGCAGCAAAGTGTTTGAACTTTAGAAGGCTTGATTATTAGGTTTGGTTATCTATCAATATAATAATAAAACAACAATAAACAAGTACATGGGATACGTCGATACGATTTAGTAGTCAAATTAGCATATGTCACTCCTTAGTATCCAAATCAGCTGGTTTAAGCAAACCATAAAAGTATTATTCAAAAGCCAAACTGAAAAGTCAAACCGAAACCGGAAAAATGTTGAACCAAACTATATTGAATGATAAGTTTACTATTAGCCAACAACCAAACCGGCTTACCAATATGTTTGACTTGATATACTTTCCCAAGTTTGAAATTTAAACTATGTTTGGTCCACGATTGCTAAATTTAGCTGCCGTCTGCTCCAAACAATCAAACATTATGCCTCGGTCTATAGTTTTACTCTTAACTTTTCCTCATTGATGGCTTTAATTTTTCTTTCGTTCAAAACATACACATACAGCTGAATGCTCAACAAAAAACAGTTGGGGAACTTCCTGGGAAGCAGCCTATATTCATTTATCACGTTCTGTTGAATTCAAAACTTTATTCAAACTTTGCATCTCATAGAACACTACTATATAAGTAAATACTAAATCCATAATTTACTCACAACAAGTTTCATAATCTGATAAAGAGAGAGAAAAGGAGTGAGTTAAACTGTCTTCAAATTAATATGATGATGAACAAAGGTGTTCTAGGTTCGATTCTGTTCTTCATGTTGGTTGGTTTGGTTCTTGTTGAGACTCGTCCGCTTGGTCTAACAAAGACTGAAGAGAAAAGGCTTGTAGCTGGTTTCTTTGATGGCTTATCACTTGGTTCGATCAAAGGCTCAGGTCCGAGTCCAGGCAAGGGTCACAATTTTGTGGATCGGAGCAATACATTCAAGTTTGATAAGCACTCCGGTCCAAGCCCAAGCGGACCCGGTCACTAATTCTTCAAATCTTTAACCGAGACGGTTTACGAGTTTATCCACGTCTAGGTCCAAAACATTATTTCATTTTTATACTTAGAAAGAAGAGAGGGGAAAAATCAAGAAGAGAATGTCTTATTGTTTTTCTTGTTAACAGCATTATCGTTTCTAAATTATTTCATTCTATTTGATAATGTAAACTTTGGTTCTGATCAATATGATATTTAATTTAATAATAAACATTACAAAGTGAATATGCTTATATTGTCTAAAATACTGAAAACACATTTTAAATTATTAAATCCATAATAAAATTTCGAAACTAATTTCTGTTTTTATCATATATAACAGATTGCCTATTCATTTCTAGTAAAAAAGTATTTATTTGTCTGAAAATATTCATTTAGTTATTTAAAAAAAAATTAAGACACGACATTCAAATTGGGCGATAAAGATGTATCCTTCAAAAACATTAGGATAAAGATGTATCCTTCAAAAACATTAGACTGCATCACCTTCCAACGACGTTAGACTCTTCTCCGAAGGCGAGCGTGATAGAACTTTACAACGTTTCAATGTGTTAAAAAAGTGGAGCTGCGTAAGGAGGAGTGGAAGTAGTTTGTTCATTATCTCGTGAGACCACTTTCCTGTCAGTTATAATAGTTTCGTTAACACTGCATGTTACAAAGTGTAGCTATTACATTTTTTATTCGGAGTATTGAGTGATACAGCGATCTGTGTCTGGAGGGTTGGAACTAAAAGTGAGTGTATCTCTCTCATGTCTATTGTGGTTTTATTTAGCAAGAATCAGTTGGAACATAATGTCTTACCGAGGAGAATCTTGTGAAACAGAAAGCTTTAGACAAAAAGCAAGGAGTAGAAAAGGGTGCTACGTCTGGGCGTTCTGCTCAGACAAAAACTAGAAGCCCTGCAGATGAGTTTGAGCTGTTTAGTTACTACCTGTTTCTGATGCCCTTAACTTTTTTTTTAATGCTAGTAGAAGAACCCTTATAAAGAACATAAAATACATGTATGGTCATCTATGCTAAGAAACTTTTGCTATTTTGTCAAACATGTTTTTTCTGATCTTGCAGACACAAAGGCTGAGAAAGATGACACGAAAAACAGTGGTAGGCAGGCAACATGTTTTTGCTCACTTTGGAAGTTAAAGTTCTCCTCAGAGCTTCCAATAAATTAAGTTGTAAAATTTGTGGATTAAAGTTAAGATTAGATGCAGCTTAAAATTATCTGAGTTAAACTGGTGTATAGATGATTATATTGTCTGTTAAATCTGCGAAAGGGAAGAAGCCAAAGACCGAGTCAGGCAATGAGGTCAGGCTTGTAAAAAAAACTTAAGACATGTACTGTGTTTATTCATTTTAGTTCACTTTTCTGGTTTTTGTTTTAGCTCCCATTGATAAAAATTACAAAAATCTTGTACATACCTGTTAGGAACATATTCAACGGCTGATGTGTGATGCATGCATACACACACATATATACAAACATGGTCAATTTTATCTGAAATCAAGAAAAGGTTGCTGTGTCTGCTTTTGTGATCTATAGAAGGATAACGTATCATCAGAGAAGTTAATCAAGATCCAAAACCCCGCAACACTAAGAGAACAGCTCACTGAGGACTGGGAGAATGTTACGCAGAAGGACAAGGTACAACAATATACTCTGTTTTCTACATATACGTTTTGCCAGAATTAGAATTGTTCAAGTATCAACTTTATTCCTTAGAAACATAATTGTGAATCTATATCAAATGAGTTTATAACAAAGTGGTTTAATGCAATTTTATATTTGTTACTGATTCTAGACTATGGAAACTTCCGCGTTCGCCTAATGTGGATGAGATATTGTCCAAGTACATTGAACTCAAAACCAAGAAGGATGGAATGTAATTCCTGCATTCAACCAAAGAGTGTTGATTAATGCAATTTTATTATCTTCAGAACTCACATGAAGTAAAACTGTGTGTTGTACAGGATAACTGATTCGGTCGGTGAAATCTCGAAAGGCAAAAGGTCGTACTTCGACTAAGGCATTACCTGTGATGCTCTTATATAAGAAAGAGCGGCGACAATACCAAGAAGCAGTCGTGGATGATATTTCACCTTTAACTGTTTATGGCGCCGAGCATTTGCTTCGTCTCTTCGGTAAAATCTCAATAAGTTCTTATTCAAACACTAAAAATCTGATGATCTGAATTCTTGACTGTAATTCGGCTTCTTATCACCATTGCAGTGAAATTTCCGGAGCTTTTTTTCATATGTAAACGTGGAAGAAGAAACATGGAGTCGCATGCAACAAACACTATTAGACTTCCTTGAGTAAGTATCATACGACTATATCAATCATATGATACTGTATGTATGATTGATAGCATGAAACATCAATCGCATATGTATGTTTCGTTTCTCTTATCTATGCTTTTTTATGTTGTTGTTTCCTTTTCATTTGAATCACGAAAGGTCATAACGATTACAAAAACGATTACAAAAGAGTTTTAATTTGCTTTTGTCTCTCTAACCATTGCTGGCTTGCTCTCTATACATGAAGACTCACTTATGAGTTATCAATCTACTCGATCTTCCCAACACCAATTTGATTCACTATAAACTCTCTAAACCCGACACGACGGTTCATTACACCTTGCGGCACACAAGAACCACCACCACCAACATTCCCTCGCTGTAAATCCGCCATGTAACTCCTCACCTCCGTCCTAATCATCTCCTGCACCACCATCATGAACTCCCCACCAAATCCTGACATCTCTTTCTCTTCTTCCACCTCTTCCTTCCTAACCGGAAACAACTCCACCGTGTAACCACAATCAATAACCGCATCCTCGTTTAGTTCAGTTGACTCGTTGACTCTAACCACCTCCCTCTCGCAACCGTCACTCCAAGGGAGAGACAAACTTAGATACGTAGCCAAATCTTCACCGTTCGATGACGCCGTCATACCAGATCTAACCACGTGTGCCCCACCACCAGATTCCTCGCTGACGTCAGATCCAGAAGGACTTCCAGGGCTCATATACAACTCAGTACACACACCACCACCACCACCACTCGCCGTACGCTTCAACGGTTGCTCTTCTTCTAAATTACCATCATACCCTCCGTTTCCACAGCTTTGCCCTTCAGATGTAACGGCGCTGCATTTTCTCTTGAGCGTCGAGTTCCAATGATTCTTGATAGCGTTGTCGGTTCTTCCATTGAGGAGACGAGAGATCGTTGCCCACTTGTTACCGAACCGAGCGTGCGCTCTAAGAATCGTCTCGTCTTCTTCAGGAGAAAAAGAACGGTGCTCTACCTCCGGAGATAGCTGGTTACACCACCGGAGACGGCAAGATTTGCCGGAGCGTCCGGGGATAGATTTGCTGATCAAAGACCAGTTTCTTGGACCGTGTTTATGGACCAGACTCTGTAATAGTTCGTCTTCTTCTGGACTCCATGGTCCTTTGATCCGTTCCATGTTGTTCTTTCGGACCGAACTTGACATCGTTTTGGATCGGTTTGTGTTCTGTCTTTTTAAACGGTCGTTGGGAGTTTTTTTTTTTGTTGGGGACAATAAAAGGTTTTAGGAGGATAAGAGCAAAGAAGAGAGTGTATTTATACGAGAAGGGGTGGCGCAGGGGTAACCGCTTCGACAGGTAATCTTTCTTATCGATTGACTGAAAAAAAAATTAGTTTAAAATATTTTTTTTTTTTTTTTGGTGGGCAAACGGGAGACAATGCCTCCCTATATTATTAGAAAAAAAAAAAAACTTACGACATCAGTACATCATCCTCATGAAACGAAGTTACATCAGGTGGGATAGAATCAAAAATATGAATTCCTAACGGTAAACTAAACGCATAGTTGGCTAACCCATCGGCAAGACAGTTAGCTTCCCTATACACGTGATTAATTCGGACAATCCAGTCCTTTGAAAGTAAGCCATGGCACATACGTACCAGGAACGACAGTGGGTGAGTCTCCTCAATCCCTGTCTTGAGAAAGCCAACAACAACTTGTGAATCAACCTCTAGCTCCAACCTCATGAACCTCTTCTCCCACGCCAATACCAACCCATAAGAGCAACCGCATCAGCGATTCGGTGGGGCGCGGATTCCAAGGTAAGTTTTTTTTGTTTTTCTTTTTTTTTTTCTTCTAAAAAAAAAAAAAAAAATTAATAATCTAACCTATCGCGGGCCGCCACGTGGCGTGGGGCCCGCGGAATAGTGATAAACTCGTGCTGAACTGCCTCTTAGTGGCGATCCGAGTTCGTTGAAAATGGGGGGTCCACGAAATTAAAAAATATTTTTTTTTTGGATTTCGTGCCATAAACTGCTGATGCAGATGCTCTAATATACTCCCCATAGTTCCGCCAAAGGAGCAGCGCATCGGCCTATATTCAGAGCAAAGCCTCCGCACCACTCACCAAACCTGTTTCTCAACACACCTCCCGCCGTTGCATCTCCAGGATTTCCGTGTGACGCCCCGTCCGTGTTTAGTTTAACCCATTCTTCCGGCGGAGCTTTCCATTTTTCTCTTCGTCGCTCGGTGCGCCTATGGCTTCTCTGACCTCCTAGACCACCGTTCGCGAGGAACACCTCTGATGCTTTCTCTTTAACGAACTTTACTCGATCTCTACACAACCGAGTATCACCAAAAACATTTCCACACCTCCATTTCCACGCCCACCATGTCGTTATCGCAAAAAAAGTTGACCACGAACTTTCTCCTACCACATGTTCGTCTCCCAAGTTGGTGTATAACCATTGAAGCAGTGACTGGCTAAAGAAAACTTGCCTCTTACCCAGTGGAACCACACGATTCCATATTCCTTCCATAGCCGGACAGTCTCGTAGGACATGTAGCACTGTCTCAGAAGCTCCTCTACAGACCTCACACGTATCAGCAGTTCCAAGATGCCTTCTGAATCTCTCATAGTTTGTCATGATCACCTGTTGTCCAGCCAACCATAGAAAACATCTCACTCTTTCTGGAACTACAACTGTCCACACACGCTTATAGAAGTGTTCCATCCTTGGTCTTGGCGAGTCAATAGAAGTTAGAAGCCTATAAGCTGATTTAACTGAGAAGTTTCCATTCCTAGTTCCTTTCCAAGCCAATCTATCTTTCGCTCCTGTTACAAGGTCAGGGACAACGGAAAGAAGCTCACGTATCTTATCTTCTAGGAGGTACGGGGCAATGTTCTGTAAGTCCCAACCAATACCTTCAGCCCATAAATTCTTAACGTACAGGTTTTCGAACCCTTGCGGCAACGGAGTAATTGTCGAACGCAAGAGGGGATCATCTGTTAGCCACAAATCACTCCAAAACTTAATATTTCGTCCATCTCCAAGAACCCATCTCTGGCCTCGTGTCACTACCTCTCTTAATCCAAGGCCCACGCTTCTCCATGTAGAAGACCAAGTTCCCTTAGCAAGCATCCATCGTGTATCTCTGAGATCTCCAACATGATATTTTTTCCTCACCACTTGGGCCCATAGACTTTGCGTGTTATGTAGAACCCGCCATCCAACTTTAGCAATCAGTGCTTTATTCATCTCTTTGGAGCGGCGGATTCCCAAGCCTCCTTCGCTTTTCGGCTGACAGACTTTATCCCAAGCCACAAGGTGGAGTTTACGTCGATCAGAGGAGCTTCCCCAGAGAAAGTCACGCGCAAGTCGATCCAGTTTGTCAAGAGTCCCCTGCGGAAGCATGATGGTGCTCATGGTATGCACCAGAATCGATGATATCACGGATTTGGTAAGCGTCAGCCTACCCGCAAAGCTCAAGGTGCGACTCTTCCAGCCCGTTAGTCGAGATGAGACCCTCTCAAGAACCTCTCCAAAGGTGTCTTTGTTGATCCGCTTTTGTAAGACCGGCATGCCAAGGTATTTGCCAAGATCCGACGTTGATTGGATGCTGCTCTCACTACTAATCATCCTTCCCAGCTCTCGAGAAACATTCGATGAGAAGAATATTTTAGACTTCTCCAGATTAACTTTCTGACCCGAAGCAACACAGAATCTCACTAGAACACCTCTGATGACGCGTATCTGACTAACTGAAGCCTCCGCAAAAAGTATAAGGTCATCTGCAAATAAGATATGCGATAACATCGGTCCACCTCTTGATAGTTGTATAGGCTTCCACTTACTCTCCACAACCGCTTTCTCAACAAGGTGGCAAAGCCGTTCCATACACAGAACAAAGAGATACGGTGACAGGGGATCTCCCTGCCGTAAGCCCCTAAGCGGTTTGAAACTATCAGTCATCTCCCCATTCCACAACAGGCTCATAGACGGTCCAGTAACACATTGCATAATCCACCTTACACAAACGTCGGGAAACCCAGCCGCTTGAAGTGTATCTTCCAAAAAATCCCAGCGTATTCTGTCGAAAGCCTTTTCAAGATCGAGTTTCAACAACATCCAACCCTTTCTTCCTTTTTTCCGACGCATAGAATGAACTGCTTCTTGGACTATCACTATATTGTCAGTCGTAAGCCTACCCGGGAGGGAGCTTGATTGCGCTGGACCAATGATTTTATTCATAAGCTTTTTCATCCTACCCACCAACGACTTTGTAATTGTTTTGAACAGAACATTGCACAGACTTATTGGGCGGAACTGCATTATTCTCTCTGGTCTAACAACCTTCGCAATAAGCACCAAGACAGCATTGTTCGTATTCTCAGGTAGATTCCCTGTCCTAAAGAACTCAAGAGCAAACTGAATGACTGATCTCCCTACCGTGTCCCAACAACGCTGATAGAACACTGGTTGGAAACCATCTGGCCCAGGAGCCTTGAAACTTCCCATGCTTCTAATCGCTATTTCTATCTCATCTGCGGAAAACGGTCTCTGCAACTCGTGTTTCTCAGCATGAGATAAAGTCGCAAAACTCTCCCGCGGTAATACATCAACTGACTGTTCCACATCCTCCAGTGAGTAGAGTCTCTTGTAGTAAGCTATAGCCAAGCTCTCAAGTTCTTTAGCATCAGTTAACCACTGGCCCTCTGCATTTTTCAACATCTCAATTCGGTTCTTACTTCTGCGAATAATCGTAGAAGTATGAAAAAATCTTGTATTACGATCTCCATGAGTGAGGAGTTTCTCTCGAGATTTCTGATACCATATCAGCTCCTCCTGTTCAAGCACCACATCGAGCTCTTTCATCAAAGTACTCTCCTTCTCAATTAGATCATCCGTTGGGGAGTTCTCTATCAATTCCTGTACTTCGTGTATTGCACTAAGCAATTTTTCCTTCTTTCTCTGAACGTCTCCAAATACTTCCTTATTCCACTTCTTCAAAGTTTCTTGTAACTTCTTTAAAGCATGTCTGGTATCAACATTGCTATCCCACGATGCTGCCAAAAGGTCTTGAAACCCCTCATGAGTTAACCATGCTGTTTCAAACCGAAACGGACGACGACTCTTGTTCCTCTGAGGCATCGGCTCTAAATCAACATATAAGGGAGCATGGTCAGACGCGAGGAAGGGTAGATGTGTGACTGTAGCCTCCTGCCATTTTAGACGAGCTTGGGGGCAACAAAGAACACGGTCCAGACGCTTCGCAGTAAAAGAACTCTCCGATCTTCCTCTCTTCCACGTAAACTGTTGACCTCGAAATCCCATATCAATGAGTGAATTAGCATTTATCCAACTCCCGAACTCCAAAGAATCTTGTGATAGGCGTCCACTTCCCCCCATCCTTTCATCAAGCCGGAGGATTGTATTAAAGTCCCCACCAATGACCACTGGCCCAGTCGCTAGCTCAACTACTTATTCGAGCTGCTCCCAAAGCCCACTACGCCTGGTTGCAGACGGAGCTGCGTATACAGCCACCAGGTTTAGTGTGTCAACTCCTTTCTTGATTCTAGCCTGAATAAACTGATCAGTATGTCGCACAATTTCAACATCACCCACATCAGATTTCCACAAAAGCCATAGACCTCCACTCTGCCCTACCGAGTCCACTCGAAAATTCTGATCAAAACCAAGGTTCTGACATATGCGCCCAGCGCGATCACCTCCCGCGTGGGTCTCAAAAACTGCAAGAACATCTGTACTATATTTCTTCAATAAGTAACGGATCGATCGTCGAAAATTGGGTTTATTTGCCCCCCGGCAATTCCACATAAGGATCTTCATCATTAACATATACCAAAAGGAATGGAAAGCCGGGGACAACTGTTATGCCTCCTGAGACCCCATCGTCTCCACCGGAACTTCGTGTACGCCTGCATCTTTATCCGGGATGGAATCCGCCGCATCATCAATCGGAATCGACTCCAAGCACCCATCTGTCAATTGAGGAAGAACGCTCTCAACCCGTACAGAGCTATCTTGCAAGAAAGGACCGCCAGCTCTCCCCAGATTCTCCTGCTCAACTCTCAATCTTTTTCCATTGCTTGATAGCTCGATCTCCCCTCCGTTTGGACCAAACACAAGGCCTCTCATGGGCCTCAGTTTTGAACTTGGCTTGGGCTTCGTGACTTTGCTCTC